TTCGTCAATAACTCGTTAAATATTGATGCTAGCGAAATATTTTTACATGGAAATTGTAGATCTCGTCGTCCTCTACAAGAAAGATCTGATGCAATTTTCCCGTAGGTCCAACGGTTTAGGAGTTATTGAGGAAAAACGAAATTTTTTTCCAAAAGTTCGCCGTTTCGACACTGGGATGGTCGGATTTTGTCGACATCAATAAAATGCCAAATAATCATATGTAACTCGTTAAATACTCTAGTTAGATGAAAAATTCATAGAATCTTTCTTGTTGAGGACGTCAGGGCTTATAATTTCTGTATAAAAAGCTTTCCGCTAGCGTCAATAATTAATTGAATATTTCCTTCTATACTTTTTAGCACGTAGCTATTTATTATTAGCCAATACATTCTTAACAAACATTTTTAAAGAAGACAACATTTTTTTTGACAACTTATCTCAAAGCACTCAAGTACGTCATGCGTCTATAGTTACTCTTATAATTATCTGGCATACCAAAACTATCACGTCAGGAGGAAGACGACGTATCTTAAAATTAGTGCGACATTCTCGAGCACTCGAAGAACGTCATTTTATTACATTGTCTATACATGAGAAACATTTGAAGTGCATCTATTATAACATCAATTATGTCCAGCAAACACAATGCTGCAGTCTCGAGATTTATTATCGATAAAAATCGTTGTAATATTAACTGCACTTGTGACTCGTCGTGTGTACCTCTATGCATAAATTCTGTACTGAAACTTAAAACACACAGTGGCTGTACGGATCCTTATCGCATAACGAAGTGGACGAGCGCGCGGCGAAAATTAAACGAAAAACCGTGTCTCCTGGCGGAGGTGCACGTTTTGCGAGCACTTGCATACACGTAGTTGCGACGGATTTATACGCGTCAGCATCATCGCGCGCCGCAATGCGGCTCCCGCAAAGCGCCGCGGATGGAATTCCCTCTTCTTTCGCGGGTCTCGCGAACCGCAGCCACCTTGGCGCGAGCGTTAACAATTACACGAGGACGCAAGAAACTTGGCAGTGATCCTCGTTCGAGGATCGTCGGATAAAAAATTTACTCCTTTGACGAGATAACGGATGAACAAGCTTCTTGGACGGAGGCTTCAGATTTTAGAAGATATTTCTATGCTCCGAGAAGTAGAGGAACTATTATGCCAGAAATAGAGAGCATCTCTTACTTCGGTTGTTTAAACACTGAACTCATTTCTCAATCGCCTGAATACTTCGCGGATTATAAAAATATAGGAAAATAAAAACCGATACCATGTTCGATAAGGATAAATTTACGTGGAAAATGAAGTACACTTTATTAATTTACTGAATTCATACCCACTCCTCAAATACATCAGAAATTGTAAATACGCAGGGAAATGAAAATCAATATATTTGATAACGATAAATAAATATGAAAAATGAAGCACACTTCCCTAAATTTGTTAAATTAATTTCTCTATACGCACTCTTCAAATATTCCGCAGATCGTAAAATTACAGAAAAATGGAAACCAATATCATGTTTGATAAAGATAAATTGATGTAAAAAATGAGGCAGACAACGGAATAGTAGAAACCACCAAAAGATGCATGTAACCGGGTAACTAGGTGCATTGAACGTGCACGATTAGGGAGGCTTTGGAAGCGTCAAGTAGGATTTCGATTCTTCTCGAGAGGGTTGATCGACACGGTAATTCCAGGGCTCCGTTTTTCGCCCGGGGATTTAAGGATTTTCCACTTATATGGCCCGGTGAAAGTTTCCACGCCAATGACGCACAGAGTGGTTTGGTAAGCTAAAAAGTTTTCGAGCATTCATCACGTTCCGGTCTGGTATCGCTAGTTCCATTAGGAGGCGCGATTAAAAAGCGTTCCTATGCCGAGGAAGCCGAAACAATTTGTTCTAAGTGACAGATGATGAATCACTCGTAACAAACATAATTCTCAGAGGACCGAGAACTTCAGACACTAATAATAATCAATTATGCTTGTTGCTTCGTAGTTTTGATTTATAAAAAAAATGTGAGATAATATAAATAAATATAAAGAAATAAAGAAAGAAGTTAATAAAGGAATATAAAGGATGCATGTATTGAAAAATATATAATGTCGAAAGTTGATTAAAAGAAAAAGAAATTTCTAATTAAATTACATTTCTTCCATTGATATATTTTTCAAATTTATTTATTATTTTAATATTCCGGAGTAATTCGGAGTATTTAATTAAAAATACAGCGAGGGTACTGTGCGAACCGGATTCCTGAAATAAATTTTTTCTTATTGCTCGTGGAATCACGTAAGTTACAAGCGTTTTCGAGCTCGCGCGAACTTTTTCAGGGCTGGACGCACCTGCACCTAGCCGCGTATCGAATGTTGGTCGCGATTTGCGGTGGAAAATCCCGTGGAACCGGTCACGCGTAAAATATCAACGAGCTTCTTTCCGACAAGATAGGACCAAAAGTCAGCCGCAGCAGCACGAGGTCTGCGGTCCGCGATCGATCCTCCTTTTGCCGTTGCAGGTATCGTGTGTGTGTGCTCGCGTTTTACACTCGCGCCTAGCATTCCTCCGGGAACGGTCTCGTTTACCATTGGAACATGGCGAAATTTTATTACCGCTTGTATTTCAGTGAGGAATTAACCGTTCGCAATTAATATAAGCGTGAGCTATGCGTACGCATGCTTTGGAAATTACAGACAGGCGAGTAAACAGTTGGCTTTGTCGTTTGAAAACGCGAACAATGCGTAGCAAACGAAAATATATGAAATATCAAAAACTCTGTAGATATTAAAATACTTGGGGAGATTTATAATCGAAAAATAATGAGACTGTCGTGTCTTTTGTATAAAATGAAAGAGACAAACATTTTGAAATTGGATGAAATAAACTTAATTTATTAAATGAAACGGCGAGGGGAACTTATTGCGAGTCTCGCGTCCTCGGCCTCGAGAGAACGATAATGCGCAGGAATGCCGTGATGATAATACCTACACAGGCTCCGATTATCGTATCCTGGAGGCTCCTCAGGGTCGCCTGAGTTACGTCGTAACGACGTGAGGGCCAAGCAACCAGCGAACCGGTTGTGGCCCTGGCCCTGCACTTATTCGGCTCCTAACCCGATCTTCCAGCAAAAAAAAAAGAACGTACGAGGAACCCGTAAAACTGAACCACACACCTGGCCAAGGATCAAGAGGCCAACACGAGTTTTGTAATTTGCGAAATAGCTGAATCCTGTAATCTGTTGCTTCGAGGCAGACAAAAATAAAGAAACACCGACTTTGGAAAATCATGAATTTTAGTTCAGAAAAAAGCAGGAATTAAAATTCTTAGATCAAATGAAATCTGATGATTTTTATTAATCGAGGCTTGCAAATATCTATCAGAAAAATATTGCCAAGTTAAGTTTATTCTGAAATCACAGAATATTTTATACAAATGGTTCAATCGGCGACGCATGGTTTCACGCATCGGGAAACTAGAAGTTCTGGTCACATGGTATCGCGCGAATTCCGTTTTCACTGCGAAAACGCGTTCATTGTGAACGCACAATGGGTGAGAGAGACTCGGAACGTTCTACTTTCGTGGAAACGAAGCCGGCGGCGAGTGTCGCGAGTACAAATTCGACGATAAATCCATCAGGGCCAAGTGCTGGCATACGTAGTGACCGATATCTCGCCGGGCCATTTGCCAGCACAGCCTCAGGAGGGATCAACTCTTTTTTTCTTTCTACCGCTTCTTCGCATTATGCGGAGGACTGCATTTCTCTGTCTTCTTCCCAGCGACGAATAAACACGTCCGATGATTTATTCGCGCAGAACTATTTTCGTCAAGTTGATTCGCCTCAGGGTCAAGGGTTCCCTCCAGGCGTACTCTGCTTGATGAATAGGAGATGCAGCAGGGAGATTCAATGCTCCTTTGATCTTTTGATACATTTGGTTATCGCTTTGAGCAGATAAAAATTGCTTCTGTGTGGAATTATAATAAAATGTAAAAGACTCGATCTTGAAACAATCTAGTATTAAAATCGTATATATACATATGAACAGTGTAGTAGCCGGAGGAAGCACTTAATAAAATGAAAATATCGCGTGTCGACCACTGGGTACACCCACTGTGTCGGTATGCAAAATTCCCAAATGGGAGAGGGCGTGAGCACGAGTTATAGAACATTCAGACTTCGAATTACTATTCACCCTGTTACTCAGTATTATTCCTGCTTCTGTCAACGCGCCATAAAATGTTCCGAACCGAGTCGTGCAGATTATTTCCCGGCCGAAGTGTTAACGAAAACAACGAGTCGAGGTATTGCAACCGTGGATAAATATTCAACGAGCATGGAGATGGAAATTTCGTTTCCAGTGATGCCCACGACTCCACCGAGGATGGGTCCCACGAAAATCAACACGATCGTTTCCAACATTCCCCTTTCCGACGCGAGAGTGATCAATTTAATTCTACTGGTCCTAGGCGCGAGTTTAAATTTTTTGATCCTGATAGTAATCGTTTCGAGATCCTGTTCGAGAACACCTATGAACATGTTCATTATCAGCCTGGCTTTCTCGAACATGGTGATTCTGATCGAGCCTTTGGAAGAGACGATCCGCTGGTTCTTCGGTGTCGATATGAAACTGAACATGGATTACGTTTGCATGATCAGTTTCGATGTCTCAGTGGTGACGATTGCTCTCATCAAATTCATGCAGTACATAAGGATGTTCCAGGAGCAGGTACCCTGCGCGCAGGCACTACTGAAGAATTTCACCGCTATGAAAGGTATCGTGCTCGTTTGGTCTGCCACCATCATATCGCTGGCTATCGGGCTACACATATACGATTTCTTCGAAGGAGACATGGCCGACATTTACGTGTGGAACACGATCATGTTCATCGCCATGCCAGTCATCATATCTCTCGCGCTGGATGCCTTAATCATTTATGAATTGTTCATATTGAAGTCCATCGAGGGAGAATGGAGGTGGAAAGAAGTGAGGCATTACATTATGCTCAGTGAGTAAATTGGTTTAGGCTCCTCAGATGAATATACATCATAATTTTTGTATATGAACAATTGATTAGATACAGAAATCAACTTGCATATAGCCAGTGTGTTTTATTGAAAATAAATAAAGACGTATGAATTTTAGCTGGACTAGTCAACGCACGTGCATTATTTCAATGTAATATTTTCAGTAATCATTGCAATCGCTTTCCTCGCGGTTCGAACGCCATATCGACTAGCTAGAGCGATCAATTTCATAGAACCGAAGGCATCCTGCTGTACAGCGAAGAAGCGAGAGCTGCTCTATTTCATAGCCAAGACGTACCCAACTGTTTTCTCTCTCATTTATATCGCGTTATCGAACGAGTTTCAGGAAGTTATTCAGGTTCGATCCGAAGCGCCGATGTAACAAAGAGAAGAATAATAATTATGATTGCTTTCTTGATTTCAGATTCTCAAGAGCAAATGCAAGAGGTCTGAAGAACTCACTGTGGTAATTGTTTAACATGCTCATTACGTGTGCTGATATTTTATTAAATTCTTATGTTTCAAATAAATTATTCACAGTGAAACGTCTGTATTATTTAGAAATTCTCAGTTGGCCTCGTGGCATAACAAAAATTTTATTTATGGTACATACTGTATGAATTACGCAAAAGTTCGAAGTGCTGCTCTCAAGGATGAAAGACAGACTTTGTATCAAGAGCAAGTGCATACCAAGCGTGCTGTTATTCGTAAACATGCATCGAAATCGATTTATTGCTGATCGAAACTCGTTTCAGAATCCATGATTCAGCGTCGCAAAATAAATATTAAGACAATATTAAACTGCATTTCTCTACGACGATTCGTTTAATCGTGCGATCAAATTGCTGATAAAACGATCGTATCGAACATCTGCCTATTGCGTTACGAAATTCACGATAGAGAGAAGGGAAGCTGCATGTCGCAAAGTCGTGAATTCACTGCGCTCTCTGTATGCAAATTCGCTTTTCTTCGGGCACGTCTGTCGCGAGTGCATAAGTTCTCGAAGCCGGTACGTGCGGGCAAACTACGCGTGTTTATTCGGTCGCGCTTTGTATCTGCCAGACTCTCTCCCGTCATCCGGAAAAAATATCCGCGCCCGATTCGAACACACGTAAGTACATACGACCGTCCCGGTTCGATTGTTCGACACGTTTGCTATATAGCCTCACGTAGGAACTTACACGTTTACTCCGGAAAGTCTACGTTGTTCCGCTTCATTTTTTCTTTACTACGGAGGCGTGACCCGTCGGATTAGATACGGAATGAGTCACTAAAAGCTACAGCTTGAAAGCAGGGAGAGAGTAGACTGAGCTCTCCAAGTTTGATACGTGTTTTTTTATCTTTATCTTATAATGAGTTCGTCATTTTCTTTTTACCTGACTAAAATTCAGATCTGGTATAAGCGTTTGATAAAATTTCATAACCGTTGAGTCCATTTGACAAGAACATTGGATCGCATAATCATTTTACACGTTCGATAAAGCTTTAGGACTTCGTAAAGCACGTTACATCTGCAGCAGCGCGGCATGGAAAAAAGCTTTACAGGCACCCATCCTTAAGGATGTATTGGCTATACATTCAATCCCAAAAGTTTATGCACTTTAGAAATGCATTTTTAAAAAAGAAATCAGACGTCGGAAGAACATTGCTAATAATAAACAACAAAAAAAATTTTTCGATTTTTCCGAGATTTTTCCAAGGGGTACCCCTTCAGATTTCGCGAAATTTTCGTTTTTTGCCAATAACTCCCAAACCG